CCCCGCCGCTGCCTCCTCATCCTCCACCTCGCATGCCTCCTCATCCTCCACCTCGCATGCCTCCTCATCCTCCACCTCGCATGCCTCCTCATCCTCCACCTCGCATGCCTCCCCTTCTTTATTGACCTCATCATCAACACATTCATGGTCAGATCAGCCGTCACAAAGGCCCCCTCGGAAGAGACATCGAGTGTCGGATCGATCATCACAGATGCCTCTTCGGCAGATACATTTCCCCTCTCCGCCACCGCCTCCAAGACAGCGGCCTTGTCTGTCCTGGAACAGCATGAATTCCACGCCCCCTGCAGGGTTTAGAGATCTGCTCCGATGACATCCTGGCCACCATACCGAACGACATCATTGCTCCCGATATACGGTAGCCAGGAGTAGTACATATCGAGTCCGATGCCCGCAACAATGATTCCTTCAGTGCTACAGGCCTGTGTGTGCACCAGACACAAGGTGCAGCTACCTGCGCAACATTTGCACGACTAACAGCCACTTTGAGCACGGGTGCGACTGATCAACCTCCGCTTCCCGCATCTGACCCGTCTATTCCTCATCCACCTGACCCTGCATGCTCCCCCGCCTCAAATGATAATGATCCACCTTGTGATCACCTGATGGAGCCTCCGACTTGAGTGCATACCGGATCCAGTGGAGTTAATACAACTGGGGGAAGTTGTCACAAGTGGTCAAGACCGCAATGAATCTCCGCCTGCCGTCCAATCTGCAGAATTGGATGAACCTCCCCCTGCCGCACAACCTGCAGAATCGGATGATGTTATAGTGCTACAGCGAGGTCGTTGCGCGTACTATGCCATTAATGTGGGTCTCGTTGCCTGCGACCTTATATTGTTTCCGATTTTGCAAACGTTGTCTGCTGGATAGAAGAAGAGCACCGTGTCGTCTGCCCGGAGGACGACAGTACTGCACCTGGCGTGAACATAGAAGTCATGTCTATGGCATTTATGGGTAGGCGACTACAACTCCAGCCTGCTCTGCAAAATCACGTGCCAGGCATGGATCCAAATATTCTGGTATACATCTTACATCGTCCAGGCCATTTCGGTGCTCTTACCTTTGTGGATAACTCATGGACCCTACAGGACAATGGCGATAGGGTGCACACAGCGGGAACTATCTACTCTTTCTATCACCAAGTAATAGAACATCACTCGGTCTGGCTCGTCCATCAGGAACAGTATGTCGATGAGCACTCGCACACACTACTGCCTCCGGAGAGCAATCCGACTGAACCTCCTCCTTCCCCTGTGCATGGTCAGACAACATCCCCTCCCTTTGCGGATCAGACGGATTCTACCACGAACAATGAAGGGACCTCTCCAAGGTAGGAGACTGTGCCCTCCTCCCATTGTGTCGTCGCACAGGTACAGTTCAGTTAGCATATGCACGGCATAGCCTCTGCTCTGAACACTATGAAGGGATGGTAGCTGCCAGCCTCTGCCACAAAAACTGTGATCCTTTGTCTTGTTCTCATCCCCCCCACCCTTCGATTACTTGCCCGGCATGCCGTTGTGGCCTTGATCTGCCATGCTTGAATAACTGCGCACGTCAGCCTTCTTTGCTGATGACATGTCAGCAACATGCCATGTGTCGTCAATGTTTCCAGAAAGCTGTCATAGAAAGTATGTGTCTCTACTGTGTGGATTATCCCTGGTGCGCACATCCTCTCTTGGCATGTCCCACATGCGGTGTTGGTCATACACCTACTGCAATCACAGTTGGAATTCCTTCTTCCTTGCCTGACGAACGACAGACACAACAGCCTGGGGAGGAAAATAGATTACCATATGAACCCCCTACAGAGCGCTGTACTGATAGGTTGTCTCCACCAGGGCGAGTTGTTGCAGACCAAATCCTGAAGCAACTGAACGCCCTTGCTTTGGATCAATCTCCCTTGTCCTCGTCTACCCATAGAGAAGGAATAAATACTGAGGAAACCCAAGAAACTTGCTCCATGCCGCTTTGTGATGACCCACCAGAGATTTTTTTTTAATTTTTTTTTTTTAACAGGACCTTACGATCCTGGCTCCTTTTCCATTCTGGGGAGCGTCAGTCCGGTTCCTATTCCAGCGGCAAGTCTGAATAAACATTACAATAGTAACGCACTCACGCTCCCTTCCGTCTGGCCGAAGGACCCCTGAACAACATTGATTACTCCAACGTAGTGGAGGATTGACTCTCAGCTTGCCCTTCTCTTCTCTTTCCTCTCAGGTCTGTTAGCTAACCTGCCAGATCTATCGTGAAAAGCTAGAAAGAGCTAAGCAGCTACTCAAGCTGACCCTTGTAACCCCTCCTTGAAAACCTGTCTGTATGTCTCAAAACCGTCTTGTCTCTCCTTAAATCTGTTTACAAAGCGGTCCCCAAACCCTAGACCCTAAACCCTCCTTTTGGAGTTTTGCAAGGAATCCCCCGAACCATCTTAGTCCGTCAGCTCATAAGGCCTGCAGTGGGACTTATTCATTTGGTACCTAGAGCACTTGTCTTTTTCTCCCCGTATCAGAATTTAGCCGGTCTTTCCAACGTGTATGGAAGTCAGTCAGCGTTGCCGCCTTGCCTCCTGCCATCCATTCTGTGAAGAATTTTCTTTTAATTCTCCTCTACTTTTCTTCATCATCAGGCATGGGCTTTCTCGTTTTGTACCATATACCCAGGATCTCTGCTTGACTCAAAGATCTTGCCTCCTCCCGTACCTTCTCCCTTGGGGGTGTACGGTCTTCAAAAGTTCTGCAGCACCTTTCTTTCCAGATGGACCACAGCCATACCTTTCGCTTTTTGCCCTCCCGAAGTCCCGTGTTCTTCCTCTTCCAATAAGAGCGCGCACCTTCCGCTGCCACCTGAAACTGTCCTGGGCTGTTAAACAAGGGGGGAGATTGGTGGAAGTATAACAGGGGAAGGAAAAAATATGTGATTAGGATGGAGAGGGTCTGGGGGGGGTGGGTGTCTTGGCTCAGACGTGTGCATGGGTTTACGAGCAGAACTTCTGGTTTCCGTGTGGTTTTCTAGCGCGCTGTGACTGTGTTTGAAAATGTCCCTCTACTGTGTGAGAGCAACACCTTCTTTATTCACAGACTATTTATTCAGCAGGTAAGTCCCAGTTCTTGAAGTGGATGATGCCCTTATCGATTTCTGCAAATCTATTCTTGCCGAGGCAGACTTTTTCGAAGTTTCTCTGGCTCGTTTCTCTCTTTTCTGGTTGCAAGATTTTCTGTTGCGCTTTAGTTCTCTATTCCACTGGGCTCTTATCTCTGTTTGAATTATGGTTTTGATTTCAGTCCACTTCTCATCTACGCTGGTATTTTGGCCAGCCAAAGTACCCTTGCACCTTGTTTTCCAGATTACCCAAAGGGTCGCTCTCCTCAGAAGGTCTGATAGAGTAATTTCTTCCTCTTCAAGGTCTTTTTCTTCTATCCTCCCTGACAGCAAATAAGTTGTATTTAAGGGGTAGGCATGATCCGTTAGGTTGACCCACAGAGATTTTGTTCTCTCCCAGAGTTCTTGGGCACGTTGGCAGTATATAAGGCAATGTATCAGCGATTCTTCAACGTTCTCACTGCACATTTTGCACCATTCCAGTTGTTGCTGATGCTCCTCTTGCTTCCTTCTTTTGCCTAACCATTGGTTGACTGGAACAGCCCAATAGATTATTAGCCATTGTAGACTTCTGATCTTTGGCGGTTTTATGCTGGCATACTGGTGCCATGGAATTTTCCCACCCAACCTGCGTTTTCTCCCACATTTTTCTTCCATCTCGCTGTGATAATCTGTTGGGGATCTTCTGTTTGATTTCTTAACCTATATCCTGCTTTGACTTCGTAGTCATAGATCGGTGTGAGCTTTCGAGTGCCTTTTTCTCCCCCGGGAATGAACCAACCCCATTCCACTGGATCTACTTCTAAGTCTTTTATGTCCTGGTCGGGCCTATTGCAATCAGACTCGTTTTCAAACACACTTTTCACACATGTAAACAGTAACGCAGCATACTGGCGACATGCGCCCACTCAAAACTCAGAGATATGGTTTTCAGATACGAATTTCACTCCCAATTGGCTATGGCGACCTCAGCGCCCAAACATCTCACTGTTCACATACACTGGATCGCCCTGGATATCCCACACGCATCACTCTAACACTCGAGCACACACACACACTCACTACTAACTCTGTCTCTTATACACATCTAGATGTGTATAAGA